TCTTTAGCCACTAATGGAAGCTGTGCATCTGGGGCCGCGTTCCCTAGTTGAAGTCCCTGGCTTACACGTTTGTGCACGCTCCTAGGGAAAAACAAAAACAATGTTTACGTTCAAGAAATGAAAAAAATCAGATATTTTACAAATGCGTTTACAACTACTTTAAACCATAGAGCCTGAGAACTGAAGGATCATTCTGTGCAATTAAAACCTTTACGCAAAGACATTATGCATACCAGTTATTTGATGGATGAATGATGGCATATTAAGCACCATAAAGTTAATGTTAATTACTAATGTCAACCATTAATTATATGCTTTTTAATATGTCAGATCAAAATGAGAAATAGGCAGCTTTAAAATGAATATCTGCATTTTGCAACTGCCAGCATGACAAGAGAGTCTGCTTACAATCCAGAGCCAGATGCTTTTTTTTTAAAATTTTTGTCAATAGGGTTTTTAGGATAGGGTTGTGTACAGCAAATAATGGCACATGATTTTGATCAATTGTAAAGCTTCCTTCTGAAACCTATTTCTCATTTGTAAAAGCTCACTAGGTATAAGCTTTGATAAGAGAAAAGATTCATTTTATCCTGATGCGCTGCAGACAATTAGGTTTGACAGCAATGCCCACAGCTTTGTTAGTACAGTAAGGACAAAAGTTACCACTACACATAACTCCCATCTCTTCCTGAGACAATGTGGCATGAATTCAATAACACACTCAATTTTCTTTGATTCTTCTACTGCTACTTAATCTAATTTGGAAGTTGTGACTTTCTAGAGGTTTAATAGAGATATGTCTGCAGGGAATCAATGTACTCGGAGAAATGGGGAGGGGAGGAAGCATTAATAAATTTGTCTGGTAGAGCAGGATAGGAGGCATTACTGCACTGGGCTGATCAACTAAATAACATGCTTATTAAAAACAATCTGTAGGAACGCACTATCATTCCTGTTCCTATTTATCTTCTGGTCAACTCAATTGAGATTGTGCATTAAAGCACAGGCAGCATTATTACATTTGCTTTATTAAATTCTATAAACAGCACTGTAAAGTCAGAGTCAAGATATTTATACGATAATAGCAAACAGCAGAAGCATCGAGACTTGCCTTAACACTAACATTTGTAGACCATAATATTTTTTTCTTAATTGCCATTCTCACAATAGCAAGTGTTTCACAAAACTCTTCCCCTAGATCTTTATTCTGTGCTCACCCTAATTTGAAATAAACCAAAACAAAAATAGAAAAAAAAGTCCATGCCCTAGTTCCCTTCTGGGAATGTGGGAAAATTATGAAAGAATTACACAACTCACAGCACTCATTAGGACATCTGAAATGGAATAATTTTAAATAAAGAGTAGGCTGGCTGCAAGGCCTTCCCGTACTAGGGTTGATATTAGAAGCGCATCTCATTATGCCAAATTAGTATCCAAAAATTCTGCCTAACACATAATTTAAAACATAAAACATACCGTCTGTCAAAGGTAACGATACCTTATGCCTGCCTGCAGGCATCCATTAGTTTCAATAGGACAGACAGAGAGAGAATTGAGTACCAGCTACTTTTCGAATGGCTACGTTTAACAGACAGGCACGGAAGGGTACGTAATATTAGGAGGAATCAAGTATTTCTTTGAGAGACGGTGCGAGTCCAAACACAGGAACAGAAGCCAGGAATTCTAAACCCAACATTTATTCCCTCTGTGGCTTCACATAAATCATACAGCCTTTGTTAGCCTCAGTTTCCCAGCCATGATATTTGGATAGTAAGACAGCTTACCCTTTAAGGATGCTGTGAAAACAAGCAATGCTTAGAAACTGAGGATTATATTCGGTATGTCAGTTGGTATTCCTATTTACAAGGCATATTCTCCAAGTCAACATGAATTGAAATAGAAGCGAGATTAGCATAAAAAGTCAAGCAATACTTCTTTGGGAGCATCCCTTAGTAAAAAAAGGACAAAGAAAAGGGTGCAGAAATAGTGAGCTCTAGAGGATAAACAATGAAAAAGTAAAAAGCAGGGCTAAAGAAGCAAGTTAAAAATAGATTTTTGCCCATTACGGAAAAAAAAAAAAAAGTTTAACAGTAAAAGCATAAAGGGCTTTTTTGGTTTATTTTGTTAAGAAAGGAAAGCACTATGCCTCACAGTGCAGAGAATAAAACTTACAGAACCAAATTCTGCGCTCCTTACACCCAGACCACACCGTAAAATTGCACAAAGACCTTTTTCTCTCCTCTAAACTGCCTCTCCAAAGAAGGGTGCTTTGCATCTCCTTTAGCCATCTATGCAAAGTAGAAGGGTGTACAGACTTCCAAAGTAAGGCAATATATCTCTGTGTCAGTGGAAGGGCAACACGTAGAAATCAGTATTTATGTTTATTCATAGTAACCTACACAAATGCTTGCAATAAGGTAAACGCTTAGAATTGATGGGGCATCGATATGTGCTGCAGCAGAAGTAGCCAGCTATTTCTACCAACAAGCAAATTTTTTTAATTCCACAAAAATATGGATAAATACAATTTTACTTCTTATTCAGGCTTCCCCATTCTTCTAATGCTAGACAAGCATACCATCAAACATCACTCCATTTCTGAAACTATGTACGTGTAGTTTTCCATTGTGTCACGAGCTCTGGAACCACCAGTTGCCTCATTACACTGGTAATAATTTAGTGTTAAATAGTGGATTTCCTACTTCTGTAAAAAGAAGTGTGCTTTTTCATTTTACCATCAGATCAAATAAACCCTGGATTTATAGAAGAAGGGAATGTTTGTGCTACCTGAATGAGGACTGTGCTGGATGTATAGGTACAACAGTGGCTTATGCGATTATTTTCTACATCCTACACCTGGGTAAGGAATCGCAGCCATTTATCTGGATGCAGATATTGTAACCATGAACCATCCTTTTGCAAACATAAACCATGCCTTTGCAAGCCCGCACTACAAAAATGGAGTGAAACTTCAGGTTGAGCTGGAAAAGTAAAAGACATAAAATGCAGAAGCCTGCCTTTATAATGAAAACTCAAGTCACTGCTAGTCCATATTCTGCACTGGCTGCATATTGGCATCCGGACTTAATACGATGTAATTTAATTTGATTTACAACTGTTCAGAACTCCCCAATGTAAGAGAAGACCTCTCTCCTCCTACCAGCATTTCCAGGGACACATACTACCGCTCTCAGGGGCTCCCAGACTATAAATATAGACAGTGGTTTCTTCACATGTGGTGCTCCCAGTTCCTCTGCTCCCAGACCACGCCAGGCCAGCCACAGCATCCACAGAACTCGGCTGCCCAGTACAGCCGAGATTAAGCTCAGGAAAGTCTTTTTAAAGGAAATGAATGACCTTTTGATGTTGAAACAAATAAATTAAAAAACAACACCCGCAGGACCAACACCCTTGGATAAATCCAGGGAGATTAGGTAGGGATATATGAGTATTTCTAAAATGATAAATGGCTTTGATGCTTAGAATTTCAACCACTAACATCAGTTCTTTCAAGGAAAACTCAGGCAAAGTAAAATGAAACAAAGTATTGTCACCCTCAGATTCAAAGACAAGTAATAGGGGATTTGTGCTCTCTGCAGATCAATGGAACTTGAATAATACTTGAATTGGAGATTTCCCTTCCAAACATTCTCCCTCTGTTTGCATCACTGTAAGATTATCAATGCAGTTTGTCATTTTGATATTTCGGCAACAAATGCATTGAGCCATGGTCCTATTTTAATGTTGCCATAGAGGTGGTAACAGCAACAGAAGTGACTGGGGAAGTTGAGGCTTCTTCAGCTATGTGGTAGCTATGAAGATTTCAGCATAAAGAACCGAAAAGATACGGAGATTAGCTGATGCAGGGAAGAAAAGAAGTGAGAGTTTTTATTTCAGTGAAGAAGACAGGAGAGCTTTATGTTCTCTCAACAAAACCCAGACACAGAGGTGATGTCAGCTACTCGGAAACATGCACAACAACAAAGTTATCAACTTAAGGTCTCCCAAAAATCAAAAGCCATATTAATACAATTAAAAGCATATATGTTTCTGCTGAAAAGATTAGCAATAAATTACACAATAAAGACAGCATTAAAATAAAATCCAAAGTAAAAGTGCCAATGCACTTCACATGGCAAGGTGTTTCTACTTCCTGTCCCCTCTTACTTGCCAATACAAAGAATCTATATACCACTACTGCATGGCAAAACATTGGGCTTTCCCATAGAAATCTATCCAGTCATATTTTCTGTGGTTGTATAAATCTCACTGCGGTGAGATTCAAAATTTGTGCTACTGCTACAGGCGCAAAACTCTGAGATCTCTGCAAGACAGCAGTCCACTCAGCTTCAGTGACCAAACAATATGTACCAAGCAGCATTTCAGAATTTAGTTCAAAGTTACTCATCCAATTTAACTTCCTTTAAATACCATAAAACATCAATACTTCTTTAATATCTCTACTTATTTCTTCCTTTCATTCCACCAGTATTGTTGCTTCTTACAGAGACCAGAATTGGAAGCGATGCTTCAGCAGAAGCCACAGACATTTTCAGTAACTAGTCCTATCCAAGATCAAGCTGAAAAAGATTGTGGCATGCCCTCTGTGTGCCTTTGAAAATAATCCAGTATGGGTATTCAACTAGTTGACTATTATGCCATTTAGTTACGTGATAGTTCTAGAAGATTGCAACTATAGCACTTATTTCATTGATCCATACAGATACCAACTCCCATGTTGACAACCTCACTGTTCAACTTCCTCTTATTAATTTGTTCATAAGTATTTACTTATTTTTACATGTGCTTCAAATACACTGTTTACACTAAATACATGTACATTTCTGAAATCATAACCTGTTATACTACCATAAAATATAATACGAAGTGTGAATAAGAACACATTTTTAGAGTGAATTACTTTTTTTACAGAATTTTTCAAAATATTCCAAAAAGAAAAGCTAGTTTAACTATGGACTCTAATACTAGCATTCACAAAGGCAAGGACAAAATGGTTGCATCTGGGTTCAAGTCTGCTTTCATGCAGTATCACGGAGCTGTGTTAAGGTACAAGTAACAAA